ATTTAAAGAAGATGACCAGCACACCTTTATTTATACTGACGGCTCCCAACGCGATGGTCGCACAGGAGCTGCCTTCGTACATAATTACCACAAATCGAACCGCCTGTCAAATTACAATACTGTGTATACGGGTGAACTAACAGCAGTCCTGGCAGCCCTGCTCTACATCAAGCAAGGTAATCTACAAAGGGCAGTCATATGCACCGACTCTCATTCGTCGGTACAAGCTCTCATCGCTGTCCATAATTCATCCCACCCAACTTTAAACGGCATACGACGAACGCTCTGCTCCCTTCCTCAACAAACTCACGTAATATTTCTCTGAATACCTGGACACGCAAATATTCGTGGAAACAGCACTGCTGACGAAGAAGCAAAACGAAGTCTCATGCTTCCGGAACGTAGTCATCTTCATTGTCCCGTTTCTGATATTCTAGCAACTATCAGTTTGCATTTCCGTCTCTTTCTTCAATCCGAATGGGATCAACGCGCTCATCACCACCTTCACCCAATCAAACCCATACTTAAGCACTGGCCGACAATCAATCAAGATAATCGCCTGAAGGAAGTGCTGCTTGCCAGACTGCGTATCCGGTCACACCAAAATCACTCACTGCCGACCTTTTCGAACGCCCTCCTCCGCTGTGTCATCGCTGTGGCATCCCTTTCACAATAAATCACTTCCTCCTCGTGTGTCCCGTATGTCAACGATCAAGGCAGCCGCTCATCAATTATACCAACGCTAATCGGCCTCCATTCAATCTCCATTCTCTCCTCGGTGATTGTTGTCCTGATTTGATCGTTCTCCTCTTTGAGTTTTTACACAGCACAGGATTAGATGTCTTCATTTGAATAAAGGGTTTTTCCTGCATAATTTGGAAAAGATTGTAGGTTTTTCCCTATTGGCTAAGAGTCCTGGTCTTTCTTAGGACTTTCCAGGGCTCAATAACATCACACAACACCACAAGGTTGTGCCGGGCAGCGGAGCCCGGGGCTGATCTCCCCGTTGCTGTGATGAAGCGGGCCGGCATCCATCCATCGCACAGGTCGCCGACAAGTCAGCTGTGCCAAGGCCATCGCTGACACGGACACCCAGGATGCACACAGGACACACGGCACCCCAGGAGTAAGGCGGAAGGGCCGGTGAGGAGGCTCGCTTGTCGTTCAAACGTATTGAATGCGTGCTATGTTGTCATGAAATAAATATATTTGTTGCTGCGGTCTGATTTACTTGCTATGATATCGCTGGTCAAAAATGAGCCAGGTTAACGTAACGCCACTTACAAATACCCTCTCACTTGCTTTGCGTCGGACAGCATACGCCGGTTTAACGTAATTGTTGCCTGACCTTATGCCGGAGGTAAATTTCCCCCCTTCGGAGGTGACGTTCGGTCCGTCGGGACCTTAAAAAGGCCTTGCATGGAGGCCTTGCATTGGCCCACCCAAAAAAGAAAAATATGGCAGCATGCAGGGCGGCACAAGCATTTTACGCCTTTGATTGCTCAGCAATCCCGGTGAACATTTTCGTAAGAATAACTACAATGACACTATCTTGAAGTTTATGTAAAAATCTTCCCTGAATTGTGTTCTAAAAGAGCCTATAAACAGACGAAACCTCCAAATTTTAGACCTTGCACTAATGTGACATTCAAATTTGTTATGGAATGTCCACCTGTGTCCATCCAGGTGTGTCCGCTTATGGGCATTGTAATGCCAATGTATATATGCAATTTCATGTTAATATATTTTTTAGACCTTGTAAGGTGGAACATGACATGGACTTTCAGCATCAAGCCATGTACTGGTTGTCTTCAGGTTGTCATCTACCATGTTTTGATGTTTAAAATACAATCATTGGCATGTCATCAATCATAATATTTCCTACTTCTTATAACAATGATAATAATGTTTGCACATTATTATGAGCGCTGCACCAGTGGTCAGTGGTCAGGTATGCCAAATGAGTTGGGGCCCTCAATTCGTACTCAACCCGACTCACTCAACTCAGCCTCAGCGAAATGAGCAGTGGGAAATTATGTAACCCACCACTCAAAAGGCACCAACAAATGTTTTTTTTCCAAATTTGGCTCACTCTGTTCTCAAAGTTAGGTTGCAGGCCAGATATTTTGGGGGACTGGAGCCCCTGACTGAGAAGGAAATTGCACCCATGCCAAATGGCAATCAGTGTTGGGGATGTCTTTATAGTTGCTGGTGACGAGTGCGACCCAGCACATACATGAAGATGCGCTTATGTTTTTAGTATTAGTACAATTACAGAAATATTTCCAAGTCATTTAGGGCAAAGGCAAAGGTTGTCACAGGTTTTCCCTCACACAAGAAACCCCTCATGCTGTTGGAAAATGAGCAGCTGCAACTATTAGTGCTGCATGATGCGTGGGTGAATTACCCTGTCCCTAAATCCTGTTTGGTTCTGTGGAGCCAGTTGGCATTGCTTGTCTACTGCAACTGAAATTTCCCTATCACTTCTATACCTTAAAAGATGATACCCTGCTCTACACACTCAAATCTGAAGTCGGTCTCAGCTTACCAGCGGATAGCGAAGACATCACACAAAAGTCTTATGTTCGACACTTAACGTTTTTTTACCTTTAGATGTGCAACTAACCATGTTTGGCACATCAAACCAACTTTGTGAGGCATGACAGTGTAAATATAATTACATCACAAGTGGCCTACACATTTTCAATATATTCTGGTCCAATTTTCATTATTTCTTGGCTTTTGAAGATCAGGGGCGTGGGAAGATGATTGGGGGGGGGGAAGATTAATGTTTGGGGCTGATCTTTAACCTCTCAGAAAATGATACGTTGCCCCTATGGACATTGGCTAGGCATAAATCATCAAAGCTTTATTGGAGAATTCATGTCGCCCCTGCTCGTAACATAAGCCTGTAGCACGAATTTCTTGCTAGAATGACTCGCAGAAGCCCGGCTGTCGTTTTTTACCTACATTTGAGTCTGCACGGGTGTAACCTCAATACTACGCATTTGGGACCGCAACTGCACCGGCCCAAAATCGCAAACAAAGTAAGGTTAAGTATGGTTACGAAGGTGCACAGAAGGAGCACTCCAAAAAATGGCATATACACTCGTAATTTTTCTTTCAGATCGTTGTGTTGATTCAGATCAGATTTCAGATTGCGAAATCAGATTGTATCTGCCTTTCCAGTCCTTCCGCTCAGCAAAACTAGTGACTCTTAATGCGCGCTCGGGTGGGGGTCAAATTGGTCCCCCCTTCCGAATGGTCTTTCCGGATTTGGTTTTTGAACGACGGGGCGTGGGCACGCCAAATTTTGCATAGCTGTAGACATTTAAATGGCGGATCGTCTGGCATCAAAAATTTATTTGTACCGTGTAATGTCGCTGACCTATTGCAGATCAAAATTAGACCATGGTTTCAACGAGGTCAGTTTCTAGGGAGTCTTTTAATCTGATCCAACAACGGAGTGTTAGACGAGGCCATGCATCTCTGAGATACTTTCGAAGGCAAGCACAACAATTGTAGGAACAAGTGACATTGACCTAAGGTCAGGTATGAAGGTCAGACCCATGCCAAAATCAGCTTGCTTTATTACTCTAGGGCTTGTTGTATGGGGTAGTTTCTGGTGCTCATTTCAAACTTACTGATGACAGGAATCACATTATACACATTCCATAGACTTCTTAAGGGTCAGAACAGGTCACTCACCGGGTCAACATCTTGTCTTTAGGAGCATACTGCCTAGCGTAATCTATGCCGCTTATCCAAATGCAAAACGCAAATCGGTCTTGTATAATTTTGCCCACCATTACTTTTAAAATGTCAAACGAGGTCACTGACCTTAGATGAGCATATGACCTTTTGCTTGGAACAGATATCTAGGTTCCAGGGTGTTAACATTGAAGGCAACCGTTGCTGCCTTCTCAGTGGTTGCACACTCAAGTAGTTCCCTTCCATTGAGATGGCCCCTCGTTTATAGGTATCACCGGTTTAAAGTAATCCACATCTGGACCGCAGTTAGGAACGTTCCGAGACAGTAAGGGTGATAATCGCCTCTAACGTTTGTAAAAGTCGTCCTTTCTTGATGTAAAACATGGTATGGGAATACGGGCTGGTGTTGGAATATTTGACCAGCCACAGCTGTTTTAACCACGGGTATGGCTAGGAGACTCACTGGCGTACGTCTTGAGACTTACTTTATGGGAGCGAACGGCTTCGAACCATTCTAAAAAACGGTCATTAAAAAACACGTTTTGCGATGCCCTTCAACACGTAAATGCCCCGGGGCAATCCCATGGTGACGTCACCATGGGATTGCCAGGTCTGGTCCCGAATAGGTTCGGACCCCCCCCCCCCCCTGAGTCTACCTGGGCCCCGTTCGTGATAGGGAAATGCTGGCAGATGCTCCACCCCTTCAGGTAACAATCTATGACGCTCCACAGCTACGTTATCTACGTCATGGCGAACGCGTCAAGTAACTCCCCAACATGGTCGCTGGTAAAATCAGCTGTTTCCCAACAAACACATTTGACGCGCAGCAGATATGATGTTGGCGAGTCGGGACCGTCAATTGCCACAATATACAAATGTACAATTACTTCAGGTGTATCTCTCACGACAGCTGCCTATCCCATAACGACTCACATAAGCGATAATATTAGAGGCAGAGAAAGGCGGATCATCGCCCTCGACTCAGAAACACGTTACATTATTTCTAGTGCTGCGCGAGCATAACCACATACAATCATCATCCCACGGACACGAAGTTCAGCAGGCACTGGTAACTTAACGCCTTTTGCCAGCTAAGATCATCGTGCATGTATATTGAGGTCGTCAATATATTTTGTTACGCATGGAAGAGTTTTGGCGCGTGCGGTTGCAAGCAGGGATATAGCTTTGCTCGGAGTACGTGTGCAGGGAGAAATCTCATGTGACAAGTCGCATGAAGGAGAGTTCCACATAGACACATAGACGAACAATATCCATGAAAACATGTGACGTCAGGTTATGCAGTATATTTACACTCCAAAGCATTCAAGGCATAGATAAACTTTGCCACAATCATGCTGTCCAGACAAACTACTAATGTTACAGCATCCAGAAAGTGATTAACACATTGGTGCGCTCGCCGACGTAGCGGTTCTGGCCCCGTCAAATCACCTTAAACAAGAAAGAAAATTGTGTACATGACGCGGTTCCAGGACATGATGAAGATTTCAAATCGCATTTTCGTATCTCGCGCAAGCTTTTTTTTCCTCAAAATCTCCAGGCAAAGCAGGTTCCTTATTATGACAATCATGGCCAGCGCAGAGGCAGCCAGAATCGTTCGTCGGAAGATGTGATGCCTGCGCTGCAATATCTTGCCGAGCCAGTACCCCAACATTCCGTTGGCGACATTTTTGGAACTCCAAAATCTGGGTCACACTAGTATCTGACAACATTTTGCAAGTATGTTGCTGCCGCGCGCGGTGGCGCTGTCGCGTGGCCAATAGGAGCCCGGCTTCATGAAACCATTGCAGGCTTTGCAGCGTGCACCGGCTCCTCGGGTGTATCTTGCAGCCATCGACGGGTTTTTTCTCTTCATGGATGCACCTGGCAAGGAGATAGGGGCTGCTCATAATACGTACAAGCATCACCAAACAGCACATCTGCTGGCTGCATGTGATCGCCGCAGCGCACTCACTGATGTACTTGCAAGGTTTCCTGATCCGCCCACGATTCTCGTGTGTTTTTTCGGAGAAGGCCCCCTCTGCTGCGACCTCAGAGAGTATCGGTGGCAGCTTCTCCCATCTAACACACATTTCATCGAGGGCAGGGGCTTCCCTTTCCCCGGAGATCATCACTCCTTCCCGAGACAACGATCACCTCAGCCCCACCCAGCGCCATTCAACAGACCATACAAAAAACACGTCAAAATTGAGCGTGCTTTCAGCGTGGCTAAAAAATAAACTACAGTAGCTAAAGCATTTAGAAGTAAAAAACATGGGCAATGTAAATGAGGCTATCACTTGCAATGATCACTGCGCCATGCATCAAACATTGCATTGTGCATCATGAGTGTGGGGCACGGGATGACATAGTGCCCGCAGAGCCCCACGAGGCAGATCCCGTGGAACAGATCGACATAGGTGCGCTGTTGCTTTCTAGCATACAGGACCTGCAAGTGCAGTGCATGGGCATCACAAAGCGACAGCACATGGCTGGCCAACTCATGGCAAAGATGATGATGCATGCAGCTTGCTCCAGTTGAATGTTGTAATGTGAAGATTGAGAAAGATAAAAGCGGATCGGAGCGAAGCAGGCAATTCATTACATTCAAATCAGCACAAACACACTTTAAGAAACAGACAGGGAGCAGCAGGGGGTGTATTTTGAAGGAACATAGACTGAAAAGCTTGGAGACTCTCCACATCTAGAAAGACAGCAATTTGGGTACATCAATTACTGGGCTTACTTTGGGCAACATACAGCATGACAATTCCATTGTTTGATTGCCTAGTACATGACGAATTTCATCCACAGGTGTTAACATTTGGCACAAAGCATTTTAAGAATTAAGTGTTCACTGTCTTCCATAATTGACTATTTAGGTTACATCATGAGGGCAAAACTTCATTCAAACAATACTTAAATACAAGAGGATGACATCTATGACATGCATCAAGTTTTTACAGCCCACCCAACTTTTCAAACACAGCAGACAAAGCCATGGCCATAACGAAAGTTTCTTTGGCAAAGTATGCGTATATATTGGCCACATCAAGAAGATTCAATGCAATTAAGATAAAGACCGACCATAGGCTTCATGCATACAGAACAAATTGCTCAAAATTATGCATTTGACCTTTATCATCAATAAAAATGTTCAACTATGACAATTTGATGCTCCTGTCCTGTACTTCCACATGCTTCAATAACACTAGCAATTAGTCAGTGAAATTAGCCTCACATCTTTGTTACCTATCAATAAGGTATGCTGAAATACATACCAGTGCTTCATCTGTTAACACAAACTTTAGGTACTGTCACCATGACACCCTGTTCAAGATCAGGGTTCCAAAAATTCACCATCCCCATGTTGTTCATGATCTGTCATGCATGCAGTGAAGGTACAGGTCAGTGAAGAAGTGACATGAAAAATAAGTGCAACCATATCAGTAATCTAATTTTTATGCAGCATAACAATCATGATTACTGGTCACACAACTGCAAGCTGTTTGGTTAACCTCTACCAACCCATGCCTGTGGTCTGATAATTCAAAATAATCAATCAGACCTATGAAACAAATCAGCTTGCAGTACAGGAATACTTTCACTGATATAATGCACTAGCACCTGGGCATAGGAGTTAAGTAACAATGCATGTAAGTGCGCATTTGTGATCGAATCACTAAACAGGCAATGATGGCTGACACATCAGTGTACCTACTGCGGCCTCAGCCAGGTATGCCGTGACCTGTAATCCCTGACGAACTATCATTAAGAGAAAGCAAATAAGCCTGACTAATGCATTTTTTTAACCAACAGTTGTACACTTCTCTATGGGAATAGCGTAGCTTGTAAATGGCAGATCTAAGGGGCTCAAGGAAGCCCTCCTATGAATCCAGTCGGAACTAGGTCTGGCAATCCCACGGTGACGTCACCATGGGAGTGCCCGAGGGCATCTACGCGTTTAAGTGAAAGACAACACTGATTTTTTGACAATCGTTCTCGAGTGTTACTAAGGCGTTTTTTTCCAACGAAAAGGATCTCAAGACGTTTATTGGCATGTCTCCTAACCATACCCGGGAACAAAACAGCTGTGGCTGGTCACATATTCCAACACAAGCCCGGATCACTGCACCATGCCTTGCATCTAATAAAGGCGACTTTTACCACAATGTGGGGTGATCAGCATCCTTACTGTCACATATTGTTTCGGACATGCGGTCCAGATGCGTGCTGTTTCGAGCCGGCGACAGGTATAGACGAAGTCAGCTGAATGCAAATGAGTTATTTTAGTGTTCAACCAATACGAAGGCGATAGCATTTGCTTTCAATGCTGAGAGAGCCACCTGGCATTTTCGTAGCCTGGTGACCTGAGGCGTTGGAAGAACAGATGCAATGTAATTTTACCTGGTGTCTGCAATAACAATGTCTGGAGCGCTTGTAATCATGTGTTTAGGGTCAAAAGCGATGGTTTCCACTTAGTTCATTTTCTGAGATATTGGAGATGACGTCCCCAAGCTATGGGAAGGTTTACAACAGTCGTGTTTGCGCTCCCAGCAGTCATGTTTGCACTCATGGTCTCTAAAACGTCAGCTCTCAGCTCCACAACACAACACATGGGTGTACACCAACTCAGCGGAGGAGTCCACCTCCGTTACACCGTTCGGATTTGATCCATACACCGTGGACAGGTCCGCATAATGCTCGTCACGCGTGGGGTAACGCACAGCATGTCCCGCGCACCTGCCAGGAAGGCGTTGAGAGTAACGAACGCTGTCGTCTACCTTCTCTAGTGGGTTGCCAGTGCCGCTATGCCACAGAACCGCCGCATTGAGAACTGCCAGGTCACGGGAGACCATCTCAGCTCGGTAACATAATGTCGCCACCTGTTGCTCCAGCTCAGTCAGGCCCAGAGAAGAAACTTCCGCTCCAGCGTAGTCCCGTCAGATGATGGGCCCCCTCCTCCGGTGCAGCAGATGACGAGCCGCCTCCTTCAGTGTAGCAGATCACGGACCGCGTCCTCCGGTGCAGCTGGGCCACCGCTCACCGTGTGCGTGTGCGTGTGCGTGTGCGTGTGCGTATGCGTATGCGTGAGTGTGTGTATGTGTGTGGGATTACATATGCGTACAAACACATTACTAACATTACAACTTTGCGTGACAACTTGTGAATATTTCCAAGGATTTTCTACCGCTTAGAGGTAGTGACCTTTAAACAACGCATACGACCTTTTCCCCGTGAACTTTTCGGTCCAGAATATGTTCGTTACGATAGTTTCCCGGCGAATGTTTCTTCACACAACCTGTATCTTTTGTAGCTTTTGCATGATTCACTTTTTGCATGGTGAGCTCTTTAGCATACCTATGTCGTTCTAATGAGCTAAGGCATACAAACTCAATCTCAAGAAAAATTGCTGCGCGATCTTTTTCTAAGCGTACTTTTGGGCTCAGCAGTTACTGACACAGGCACTAGATGACATCCGAGGAGTGTTATCTCTGCTTGCGGACAAAGGCACGTAAAGAAAAGGCTGTGCGACAGTTATTGGCAAGATACAAGTTTGCACGCGTAAAGTTCGTCAAGATAGGCTTCGTACGGTATCAGTTTCGTATTGTGAAAAACCTTACGGAAGAGCCTTGCTCGGCAAAACAGAAGTCTGAAAAAGTTCAGCACGACACTGTTTGCATCGTAAACGTTCGTATGGATAAGTCCGTTAGTTTGTTTGCCAAGGGTGAAGCTTGTCTAAAAAACTACTTGCGCTAAGGTTTTTTTGCAGATGTTTGCTGTGGACACACGAACATTCGTCCTCAAATGTTTTCATCGACAAAGTCAGTTTCACATGAGTGCGCACACGAAGATTGAAATTCAGATGTCTGATGTGTGCATGATCATATTCAGGTCAGACAGTCACCAAGGATGCAGTGCGTCCGACAGCAATACTGACGCCGTCGCCTGACAATGGGAGAAGTCCATTTTAACTTAAATTATTGCATACTATGGTTGCATGTCACATGCCATGCATCCTGCTAACGCTAAAAATGTGCGTTATTTGGTTTTCCATGAAGCCCCTAACATGGTCACACAAGAAGGCAAAAGGTTTGCTACAGCTCAAAACCGCAACAAAGCAGAGATAGCGCGTTAAAGTACATGAACGCTTACTTCGTGTTTCGAAATCTAGAATCGGCTCGAAACTGAAAGTCGTGCAACGGTGAATGAAGATAAAAAGAGCACCACGTCATGTTTTGTGCGAAACTTAGTCCAGGAATTCACAGTTCTTCGCCGCCGCCAAGCTCATCCTTATACCTAAACGACGTTTGGGCAAACGTTTTTTTCGGCTTTTAGGACTTCTCATCAGAATTTTCTGAGGCCGACCAATATTTTCCAAACCAGAATGCTTGAACAGAAAACCGGATATATAAAGGGAGCGTGTCTAGTCAAGTAAGAATTTTTGACTGAGCACGTTGAATGGTAGCTAATTTTGATTTACAACTTTTGGTGTCGTTGGTTTCTACAAATTCGTCCCACTGACGAGACATAGCCGCAGTCCCAATTTTTTTTCTCGTTGGTATGAAAGAACGAAATTATCGGGTATTCCCCAAGCAATATTCATTACTTAACACATCAACATCATTGAGCAGGTATCGTTGGTTCTAGCCAATGGCTTTTCGAGAATGTCGCTTGTCAGCGCTGACAGCAGCATGCGAACCCGGCGATGGCGGCGGCCATTATGTTGATGTTTTTTTTTTCATTCAGCTGAGGACTGCGAGTGTACGGGTTTAGACGCAAGGTATAGCTGGTCAGTTAATACGCACCAATTCATGTCGGCCTGCTATATACTGAGATGAGGAACAAGTATTCTGTCGCGTCAATCGGCTGCACTAGGCTCTAGGGAAATGTGACTATTCTACGTCACCTAACAACCAAAATGATGTCTACGTTACCTAGCAACCAAAATGATGGTCATGTATATAGCGTACAGTTAATTGCCAAATGTCAGTGCGTTCGTCCTTTCGTTCCCGCTGATTGGTTTATATTTTAGGATTGTGTTTGTTCACGTACAGCCATCGATTGGATGGATATAAATAAATAAATCAAAACTGCTGCGAGACCCAAGTGCACACTTAGCAACCAAAATTAACCATAGATCATTGTCAAACTTCCCTTAGGCGTGTAAGGAGAAAACCGAAAACATTAGACACTCTCCGTTTAACAATAGCCAGACTTCATTCGATGGCTGAGAGACGAATCCATCCCTCACAGGTAGTATTCAGGCGACATCGAAGAGATGGCGTGAATAATTTGATATTCGGCGATGCATTTTTTTCTGACACGTCCTCATGCGAGTGTTTTGCATGCAAACAACCGATGCTGTGTCACTGATGCTTAGCAATTTTTACGTGCGCGTTTTTGTCAAGCAAGTGTGTGTTGCCAGCATTAACGTGCTCAAGACTGTTTGAGATCAATTTTATATTTCACTTTACGCATGCAAACCCTTTGCCTAGGAGCTTTTGCCTCCCCGTCAACGTTTTGCCATAACAATTATTTTTCAGGCGTTCCTTAAGCCATACAAACATTTGCTTACGAGGTCTTTGGTACTAGCCTTTTCGCACATTATTTTACCACACGCACTTTGCATCACGCGTATCACGCACATTTGTTGGGTGATATTCCACAAGCCCTTTTTCCGAGCGCATGTTTGTCATAAAATCCTTGTCTTCGCGGTGATCGATAACAGGTTTTCAACGCTAGTGTTGCCTGCAACAGCAGCATACGACTGGCGGTCAGTGCCTGCTAGTTCGTACTGTTGTGGCTTGATTCGAAACTACTGCAATTAGGGTGTGATTTCAACCTGGAGCTGAGCGGCACTGCTCTTTGTATAAATGCTGTTGAGCATGGGGACTCCCTCATGAACAAGGGATGTTCCTTGCACGAACCAAGGAAGTGGCAGACGGCGCCGCTCGCTGACGCCACACCGGCGGCGCCGGCAGTCAACCTGTCCAGACCCGCCTTCCCATCGATGGCATCCCGCCGTGCCTGACGCCGTCGGAACTTGCCCTCGCTTCTGCCAACGCTGACCCACCCCGTGCCCCTTCTTGGTCGCAGGAGCGAGGGAAGTTGTCAAGAATGGGGGAGGGGGTCAGAGGCATTTGAGTCGCTTCTTTCCATGTACCGCCGCAAGCCTAGTGCTGAATTATCTCAGATGTTGGGAGGTGGACTCTATCCCCCGAGCCCCCCCCCCCCCCCCCAATAACGCGATCGTTCCCTCGCCTTTGCTTGGTCATATCGTCCCCGCCCCGGCGTCCCGGTTGTTATGCTGGCGGCTGGCGGCCGGGAGTTGTCTGACCCGTCCCGTTGCGGAGGGGTGGATACCCCCCCCCCCCCGCCCCCACCCTGCCCAGACAAGTTGGCGCATGGAGAGGACGGCTCCAGGAAGTGTTTTTGTGAGCGTGCTGGGCGCATCGGTAAGTGTGCATTGTGCAATATCATTTCCGTTTCGTGCATTGTGCTGTTGTGTGGCAGGACTCTCTTTTATTGATTTGTTGTTTTTGATACGACCGGTCCACTCGCAGGGCAGCGCCATGTTGCTTGGAGGGCGAAAATCCCTCCAATATTGCGCATCCTTGGCCACTTAGTGACGTGGAAACCCCTCCTATAGTAAAATGAACCTCAATTAAAAAAGTCAGTTCCAGTCATTGTGTACAGCGTCATATAAGGCTTATTTATGTATGGGTAAGAAGTCTCCCTCCCCTCATTGAAAAGGCTTTAGACGATGTCCTGGGCCTGCATGGCTTTTTTCTTGTGCAGCAATACATTTGCGATATCTCTCGACTGTTTCTTCGGATGTACTTGCTTGCAA